TAGTGCAGACCCAAACACAGACTGCCCTACAGGAGAAGAGAAAGGTTTTTGCAGAAGGAGACATGTTGTGTATACAGGTGAGTTCTGTGACATCTGACTGGTCAGCTCAGAAGCTGTGTATCTCCTAGTAAACAAAAGTGATGCTACATGGTTGTGTAGCGTCTTCTTATGCCATGAGATGAAATACTATGACTCATCCATCTCTAGGATACTTCCTGTAGAAAGAGGAAGGGCTCTAACTTTTACCAAGGTTTTTCTCATTATGTTCCACAAACAGGAAAAATAATCCTTGGAAGGAAAGTAAGAAGAAAGTCAATGTTTCTGCAAACTGATCTTGAATGAACACAATAGGACAAGGTAAAAGGTAAAGAACAGAAATCTTTCCAGTTCTTCACATGCAGTTTGAGCTACAGCAAATAGAGTATCCACGTTTACAAAACCAACACTGAATTCGTACAACACACCAAGTACAGATTCGTTCCCATCTCTTTTCTTGCTCATTTAATTCTATTTTGCTATTAAGAAAAAGAATGAAAATGTTTTGGCCCCCAAGGAGACCCGAAGGATCTGATTGAAAGCAAAAAGATGGTCATGAAAAAATGTTGCTTCTTTATAATGAGAAGTATGCCTCACATTTAAAATTGCATGCAATACAATTCACTTTGTATCAGTCAAAGATCCAGAGTTCTTGCTTAAGGTCAGAGCTTGAAGCCTTAGACGTGAGTGCTTCCCTGGGAATTATGTCTGAAAACAGAATTCACAATTTGTTTTATGCTTCCCAGGCAGCAGGATCTTTGAGAAGAAGAAACATGGATCAGAGCAACAGCCCACCCTGTCTGGCATTCCATTCTTACTGTAGCCGACATGATGCTTATGGGAAGACCCCAAGCAGAAGATGAGTGCAACAGCTCTCTCCCAGCTGAATTGCGACAGAGTCTGTCTTCTTCCAGTTGCTTTTTTTAGATCTCTACGAACTACTGTAACTATTTAATGAATGTGCAAAGTAATCCTATAATCCAGCTAAGATGGTTGTCAATCTGCTGTAATTTACCCTAGTGTAACTATACTTCCTCAGAAGCAGATATTTATTTTATATCCTGCCTTAAAAAAAAAAAATTAAGGAGGCGTACCACAATAAAATAACCATATAAAAGCAAAGGCAATTAAACTACCATAATAATAAACACACCCAACATTAAGGAGCTGGAAAATCTGGCAAGCTGCAAAAGCGGCAATCCGTAATTCCAAAAACAAGAGGGAGATAAATGGGAGCAGCACTGAACATTTTTTACACACAGTAAAATCATAGTGTGGGAAAAAAGTGACAGCTGTCCTGCAACAACAGTGCCACAAACCAGTTGCAATAGCTTTACCACGAATGCCTCCACGAACCATGCTTCAGTGAACATGCAAATACCATGATGACATCCCAAAACTTCATCAATACATTTCTCCCTCCTAGCCCTTGCAAATTTAGCCTTTGCCCCATCTCCTCTCAGACAGCTAAAGCCACAGCCTAGTGCTCAGAAGATCAGCAACCTATGTCTGCAGTGGCAAACTCCTACCTAAGGGAAGCTCCTGTCCCCTGGCAAGCTAAATCCAGTCATCAGTAGAACAACCCATTTACCACAAAAACCAAGGATGATCAGGAAAGGTAGGGATGCTATTCCATTTGAAACAACCGGGTAGAGCAATGGCAAAGTGTTCGACAGTCAGCAGAGCAGTGTAAGTTAGTGGTTCCGATGCCAGTGGGATGGCCTATCCCTTCTGAGTGTCAGTCTGGCTCTTTAAGGAGTTCTCCGTGGTGCTGGATCCAGAACAAATTAGGTTCAACACTATGGACAGGTAATTCCAAGTTCAGACTGAAACTCAGGTGGATGCACTGCCTCACTGATCCTGGAGCCACGAACCACTGCTGCTGTGGGCCTGAGTCTGTGTCTCGATTCACTGGTTCTGCCTGAACTATACTCACAACACTGGTCACAGTCTGCATTTGTGTTTGTGAAAGGGGTTTGCTGTGGTCTCCAGGATAAAGAAAGATGCACACTACAAATGGAGCTCACAAGAGACATCACGGGCAACTCTGTCGGAAAGGACTATGCAATTGGGGGGAAGGAGGAGTTGTAGGACTGTTTTCCCCTTCTTGTATTGAGAGCCACATATGGACTCCATAGGACCTACTTTTTGGTGCTACTGTCGTCAACAATAAATAGAAAACAGAGAAGGGATTAGGCCAGGAACCCAGGTCCCCATCTTCACCAAGCCCCACTAGCTATCTACAGGCAGACATTTTGATGGGCCCATGACCTTGTTCCCTCTTTCATGCACAATTTCCACAATTCTAATCCTGCTCAGAGGGCACTTGTGCATCACCCAAAAAGATGACAGCACAGGGTACAGACTTACCTATATGTCATCTGCTAATTTACATGTACAGGGGTAAATCTAGAAATAATTACGATAATCAGGTGAAATGCAGCACAGTGCATTTCACCACAATGGGGTGGACTGGCCAAGTGAACTGTCGGTCATCTCATTACACAGCTCAACTGGCCAGTTGCTTCATTAAGTGGTACTACATGTTGCTAAATGACGGTGAGAAGCTTTAATGCTCTGGATTTCTTTTCTTAGGGTTCTGTATCCTTAAACTGGATTTGAAGTGGGCAGGGCATAAAACAGAGGATGCACTCAGAGGACTGATCTCTGAGAACTCTTCTAGTAGAGGGCTGTCCTGACAGAATCCTCTGTGGACTGTAGCTCACTGAAAAAGCACGGGCCTCATATCCAGCATAGCAACAATGACAGGTTCTGCGCTATACCTGAGAAAGTACCATGCTTGCTTTGAATTCTCAGGGGAAAAATTAGGACAGAGGCACCCACAGAGCTAAGATACTGCAATATAGTAGCCAATTACTACAAGCAAAAGGTGGCACCATCCAAATAGTGTATCTGGCTCTTTCCTGCAGCCCCTTGCACTTTGGTGTCCCCTTGCATTTCCATCAGCTGCACACTTCTCCTACTTTATTGTTTAATTGCTAATAATTCATCCACTGCCCTTTCTTAGCCATCTCCGTCCTCTCCAACAGCAATGCTACAACTGTATTAGAAGAAATTGGGTGTGGAGTCAGGAGACAGTGCTCTCAGCACCCCAAATTGCACAGTCAGGAGTGAGCAATGTATCAATCGTGGGGTGGGAGAGTGACCAGCCTGCCCTTGTGGGTCCCCTCTTCACTGAGAAAGCAGTAACACGGGTGCACATGAGTCATCGATTACCATCGGCAGAACAGAGATGGTTGTGATTCTTACTGAATAGCATCATCTGAAAAATGAATGCTGACAGAATCACAGAGGATCACAGAGCCCTCCTGTGGCCGGTCCATTGGCCTTGGAGGTCTCCTGCACCTGAGAAAGCTGCTCTGCACACAGGGGAGCAACAGAGACAGCTGCACCTGCCATCACCACCCTTCCATTCGGAGTAAGGCAATAGAGCGAAAGATTCCCTTGCTAGATACATAGCACACAGATAAAGATCTTGCTGCTTCTGTTTTGTTTTTATTTCATAAAAGGCAGGCAAGCCTGCACACAGCTGCTGGTGTTGGTAGGGAACGATCCTTACCAGGAATGCAGAATGGGACCTGGGGAGACTTATCTCTTCCTTTGGGATGAAAACTACTCCTCCTTGCCCAGATAGAATACCCAGGAGGGAAAATTGCTCTAGGAACAGAAGCCCTGCTAGAACAAACAACAACACGGTGGAGTTGGCTTTGCCCTGGTCGTTGCCCTAGGCCTTGCACGTGGCCTTCAGGGCACTAGGTGCATCTTTCTTTCTGGCCATGCTACATGGCTTCTTTGTGACCTATGGAAAGATGAGAGAGAGACTGAAAGAGGGAGAGATCGGGGTGAAAATGATCAAGGAACAGCAGCCCCTGCAACAGCTCCCCTTGGGGCTCATTAGGCTGGCGCTTTCATTGGCAGTCGGTTTCTCTTGAATAATGAAAGTATTTCTGGTTGCATCTTTATTTTCAGCCTGGGAGTTCTACCGCGAATCTGTCAACTTTGGTTACGCTTGGTCACCGACCATCGAAAAACGTGCTCCGTGGTCGAGTTTGAGATCCGCCACCCTTGCCCCCGATGCTGCTCCCCGCTTTTTCAGCGAGTAACCTCGACACGGGATTCTCGTGCATCGCACGAACGGCCCTGCGCCGTGTACATCCAGCAAACAGGACTCCTCGCGAGCAAGCATCCAAGAGACCTGTCAGTGTGCAGAAGGCGTCTTGCCGGCTGGCTGGCGCAAGCGTCCCTGGGCGTGATGGTGCGGGGGTGGGGGTGGGGGTGCCCCTCTTTAAAAGGGACTCTCCCCACCTCCATCGCTGCTTCTTTGCGCTGATCATGGACGTTTGCTAAGGGCAGGTGCCCCCGCCGAGGTAGCAAAATGGGCTCAGTGGAATTTAGGCAAGCATGATGTGCAAGCCGGCCAAGAGCGGATTGCACAGCATCCCCCCACCGCCCGCGCCATTGGTTTCCCCCAGGAAGCCCCCTTGCTTGCTTGCTTGCTTTTGCATGTGCCCGTTGGCAACAGCGCGGCTGCCTTGACAGCGTGGAGTCTCAGGTAGCATCCCGCCCTTCGCTCGCCCCTCCCTTTTCCCGAGAGGGAGAGGCATGCGGGGCGTGGGGAGGGGGAGATCAGGCGCTAACTTTGGGAGTTTCCTCTGATTCCCTTGTATGGCAAAGCTGATCCCCCCGCGGGAGTCGGCGTCTCCGTTGCTCCGCCGGCCCTCTCGGGCTCGAACGACTTTCTCCCCTGGTTCTGCTCTCCTCCAATCCTAAGGAAACCAAGACAGAAATCGCTCCCTCCACCACCTCTCTCTCTCGCTCTCTCTCTCTCTCGCCAACTGCTCCCACCCCCTCCTCCTCCTCCTCCTCCTCCTAGTCACCCCTCCCTTTCTCCCTGCAATCAGGGGAATAAATCAGGAAAGGACAGGCGCTCACGCGCGTGCACACACACACACACACAGAGTGAGCTGAGATCTGTTACAAAAGTAGCCCTGATGGCGGCGAATCAGATGAAGCAGAAGCGGCTGCTGGACTAGCTGAGTCTCCCCCTCTCGCTCTCGCTCTCTCTCTCTCGATTCCTCTCCCCTTCCCCCTCTCCACCCACAGATCTCTATCGCTTTCCTTCTCATCTCCTCCCAGCCACCCCCAGTGAGCCGCTGCCTGCTTCTGTACGCTCCTGTGGCTTTGCATAGAAGAAGGAGGAGCGGCTGTTTTGCGTTCCTTGTTGCTTTCTTTATGCCCCCCATTCCCTCCCCCAAAAAACTTTAGCATCGTCACCCGCCGCCGCCGCCGCCGCCGGTATTCTCTTTTTCTCCGGCACTTGTGGGCAAGGGGCATCGATCTTCGATCAGGAAGATGGCTGCTGGCTGGTGGCTCTTCCTTAGCTTGACACTTTTCCAGTCCTTGGTGATCAACCTCTCCGCAGAAGGGCCCTTCCCTTCTGCCACCACGTAAGTCCCACCTGAGTCCGGCCGGGCTTGCTTGCATGGGAGGAAGGGAGCCAGGAGGGTGGAGGAGACCTCGTCTGGGAAAGGGACATGGGGAAAAGGCGGGGTGGCAATGCAAGTGGATCCTTGCGCTTGGCACAAATAAAACGAGAAGACATAATCCTGGATTTTGGAAAAGTAGCCACTGGTAAGATCTCGCAGTGTTTGGCTGATTTTAAGGGCTAGTTTTCCAAGGGCCTGCCCTACAATATCTGTTGGAGCCTGGTCCTGTACTTTGGAATCCAGTAATATTCCTGAGAGCAATCAACAGCATCTCTAAATAGACCTTCCTCGCAGCTTCAGCTATGCTGAGAGGAAAGTTTCCAATTACATTCCCCACCCTTGTGACTTGAATGACTATTTCAGCTTCAGGGAGATATTTTTTTTTAATAAAGAGAAGATTTGTGCGTGAATGTATATATATTTCTGTGATTTTCCTTCCGAAACGGTCCTGGAGCATGCTTTTGCAATGCCACATTTCCCAATTAGTTTCTCAATGCATATCTCTTGCAACCTGGATGCTTTCCAGTGTACAACATGAATGTTTTGACAGTTCCAGGGTTTGTTTTATGTGTGTGTGGTTTTGCATGCATCCACGCATGTGCAAAGGCAGAGCTGTGGTGAGGGTTTTTTTTTATTTTTTTAAACTGTGCTAAGAAGCTATATAAGGTGGTTTTAAATGTAACATCCCGTTAACACAATTAGACAATACACAGTTTAAGGCATCTGAGGAGGTTGCTAATTTGCCTGTGTTTGCTTTCTTTTGCAGTTTTGCATGAATGCAGGATAGCATCTTGAAAGCAGCAGACAGTTATTAACATAAAACTTGCCCACAGCAGGGCAAGGTTCACATCAAGAAATGAAGGCAGAAAGGATAAAACATAAATAGCCTAATATTTGTATATTGGGAGTGCACTGTAAGCCAGAGTTAAAGTAAGAATTTGGGTGAATACCCTTTCTTAGTTTAGAAGCACTTCAGCTTTTAAATAGGTTGCTGTTGTAATCATGCATCTCAATATGAATAACACACTGTACCAAATTATACGCAAGAATAAAATACACATACAGCTTATATGACTGGGGGAATATAAAAAATACTGTCCTAATTCAAACTGGGGCAGAAAGAAGAATTTGCAATGAGGCTAATTCGTTCTGTTTGCCAAATAGCTAGTTGGTGTTTCTAATGAACTTTAAGTCTCCATGCTTTCCCACTCTTGGTGTAAGCATAAGTGGCTAGAAGAAGAAAGTTTAAGGCACAACTGTTCAAGGAATGCTCTTCTTTTTCTGAATGGTTAAATGAAGCCTTGTTTGAGCTGGGTTGCCTTCAGTGTTCTTCCTTGAGCCGGAGTTCCTTAAAGTTTATTCTTTGGCAATTTGAAGCAAAAGCAATATTTCCCCCCAGCTGTAATAATTTAAATCCTTGCTTTGGTTTGATAAAACAAGAAGGTTAGGTTTTAAATTTAGCCACTGGATTGTGGCAGCCTGTCATTCTCAATCGATCACTTAAAACTGTGATTTGGACACCTAGTATAATGGAATATGAGGAGAATGAATAGGTGTCTAAGCGAGGCTACAGACTGGCATTACTTAGCAACTGTATTTGTGATTAGCGATACCAATAATGGCAGTAAGGATAGGAGACACAATTGGGATAAGCTGCTATATGGCAGAGAACTAGGAATATGCATTGTTGTACTCAGAAGCAAACAGGCTTTTATATAAAATATCCAACCTAGTTGCTTCTTTTAACAGATTGAACTGTTATAGAGAGTATTCATAACATGTGCTGTTCTTTATGGAACTATCTTGTAAGAATCTTTCTTAATTTTGAATGGAAGAATTCAGAATTCAATTAGGGAGTAAGGCACTAGGATAATCAAACCTGTTTTCCTTTAAAAAAATGCACATCTAACAGGTGCTCAAGAAAATGAGTTAGGTTGTATTACAATATTGAGCTTAATTTTAGTCTTATCTTGTATAGGATGGAAACAAAGATAATCAGATTCAGGTTACTTACCAAAGAAAGAATTAAAGGTAGGAGAAATGAGAGGCCAATAAATAAAGAATTAAAGGTAGGAGAAATGAGAGGCCAGTAAGTTTATACAACCAAAGTGACTATTGTATATCTGGTTCTAGATAATATTTGTTACGATTAAAAATATTTAAACCTGATCCTTGTCTCTTCTAATTATATTTGGAAAGGCATTTCATTTATTCAGTCTTTCAGAGTCATCTGCAATTTAATATGTAGAGGTATTAGGAAAAAGAGCTCTAAATATTCAAGAATAGCTATTTAATAATAACAGTTCTTTAGAACTGGAGACTTGTCTGTTCTGACATTATTGCTTAATCTAGATACATAAACATTCTTTTAAAAATGCTTATTTTATAGCTGCAAGGATGGATTCAGACAAATTTTAAAGAAGAAAATGCTTTGTCAACATCCATTTAATTAAAATTACTAGAATCCATATCAGTAGTAATTCTTCAGCTGCTCTGATTTATTATCATTTTTTTCTTGCATTTTTATCATAGACAGCATGACATTCTTGTGTTTCTATAGACTATATGGACAACTCTGAACTTGTCTGATTCCTAGAATGACATGCAGACTAAACTTTGAGATCTATGTATGCAACTATGGATAGATTGCTCTATTAGATATCCCTAAAAGTGTGTGCAAAGATCAGTCACTGTTTGTATTAAGTTAAAAGGAAAAGAAATTGAAATTGGGAGGGATGTACTATGTTACTGATTTCAGTAGATTTCAGTTGCTCAGAAATGTGCTATTGTTTAATGGCTTTAAAACAAAAAAGAAACCTGTTTACCTTAGAATATTAATTTGAATGTTTTGCCCAAGCAGTTAGGTAGTATGGGCTTTCATGAACTGAGAAATGAATCATTTGAATTTCATTGATGCCTTGTTTCTCTGTTTGCCTTTTAAGGGGTTGCACTTCCTGTCATCATACATATTGAATGCTATTTTTCATGACTTATGTACTGCATTTAAGGAACAGAAAACAAGAAAAGGGTATATCTTACTGATTTGAATTTTCTGGATCCATTCAAAATAAATACAATGTAAAAATGTCTCCTTTTGAAAATATATAGATCTGTTCCCACCTGCATAAGAAATATGTAGTGAAAATGAATATAGATTTGGAAGCATTTAGTATTCACAGAGATTTTGCCACCTGTTTGCCATATTAGGATTGATCAGGTGTATGAGTAAGGAATAAGTAATTCATCCTTCTGTATCATTCCCTACACAATATTCTCGGCTTTAAGAAAAATGCCAGCAGTTGGCATAAATGCACCAACAGTGTGTTCTTGCAGCATGATACTGGGCATTTTACTCTGAGGTAAATATCCCTGAGTTCAGTAAGACTTCTTTTTTAGTAAGTAGGTTTAGGACTGAATGGTCAATTGTCTGTCTGCCATATAATTGTCAGGCACTGCTGTTATGAATTATCAAATGGCACCATATCAGTATTTCAAAGTCTTTAAAATAGTCTCTTATGGACAGTGAATCTTTGAACACCTGTGCATTTAATAACTAGCTCACTTTGTTTGGGTGATGGATACAATCCTTTACTGTAACAATTATTTGTGGAGAAAGCCTTCATTTAAATAGGAAAAAGGCTGAGGAGCCTGTCGATGTTATACATTGTCACCTCTTGTTTTTCCTCCTTTCTCAGCCTGTGTTCACTGCCACTTGTAACTTGCATCATAGGAAGCATAAAAGCACTGGTGGTCAAAAGCTAACCATTCATGAAGGTACAGTTGGGGCCATCATGTGTCACTCAGCAACTGTCCTTTTGTGTGGTTCCAGTCCTGATTTCTTGTTTGTGTAGTATCAAAAATGTTGATGTGTTGACTGAGCGCTATGTTTATTTTTAGGGAATTGACAAAGGAAAGGTGAGTATGGGAATTTTTCATCTTCCTGTATTCTCTTGGCTCTGTCGCTTTTTCTAATACTACCATAGCTGGTAAATTTGATATGGCACAATATTTAACATCATACAGTTTTGCCACTGCGGTAATTTTAGTTGAAATATATAAATACTGCTAGAAGGACTTTTTTTTCAGGGGGGAAAAGGTTGTTAGATTCCTGAAACAAATCTTTTGATACCCAGACATTCAGGTGGCATGGAAATTCCCAGTCCCAACTTTCACTGAAAATAAATTAAGCTACTAAAGTATCTTGTCATGTCCTGATTTTTATATTGCTGCTATATCACAAATCCTTCTACTTAAATCCCACCAGATTCTTCTATGTAAGTATTCAGCAGCTAAAAATTCTAAAGATTAGATATGCAACCTTTCCCGTCCCTTCTTACAAATAAACCTAATTACTTGTTTAATTAATATTGGAATTTATGCTTTGGGTCATTTAGAAGTTTTGCTTTTAAGGGTTTTTATTAAATTGTTATCTGATCATTCCTTAAGAAGAAATATATAGAAATTTGGAATTATTCTAAACCTAGCCTGAAGAATTCTGGAATTGAGTTGAGCATATTGCGGTTCCCAAAATCTAGGCAGATGAATTAGTATATAATTATTAAAATAAGTAAATTTTCCAATTATGCAAACTATGCGGTAGGTTGAGAAAGCGTTAAGTGACCCTGCCTCTCACTGCTTTCCCACTCCAAATGTTCCCTTTTAAACTGCTATTTTATTTTATGCATCATTACATTTAAATCCCACCTTCTTTCCTCTTGCAAGGAATCTAAGGTGGCTTATATTTTCCTTCTTCTTTCCCTTTTAGCTTCACAGCAACTCTGGGTGGTAGGTTAGTCAAAGAGCCAGTGACTGGTCCAGAGTGACCCAGAGGGCTTCAGATCTGCTGAGTCCCAGCCCATCACTCTAACCACTGGAAAATACTCCCTGCCTTTATAGCTGGGGTGCCCAACCTGTGCCCTGCAAGGTTTTATTTTGCCCCCAAGAGTGTGCTGACTGCAGTGGAGCCAAATCCTTTTCACTGGTTTTCCTCAGCACCCATACTCTGCACCATGTCTTGCAGAGATTCTCATAGGGATGTTTCTTTTCCCACACACTGCTCTGAGTGCTTGTGTGTGCATGTATATGTGTGTGTGTATACGTGTGCATGTGCATGCTCACTTGCTAGACGGCCCAGACCCACAGCCAGCATCACAGATAGCCGCTGGGCCAAAATGATTGTGTACTCCTGCGGTGTATGAAAGAAACAGATATTTGGGCTTTCCCTCTGTTGCATGGAAAAATATGAATTTGAACTCTCAAAGGTTAAATAAATATTAAGACAGCTATATTGTGAGAAGTCTAGGGCTGGAATCCTGTGTGCATATTTCTGGGAATAAGCTCACTGAACACACTGTGGTGTATGTCTGAGTAAATATGCACAGTGTTGTGCTGTTACTTATCCAGCTAACTCTCAACTCACTTACAAGGCTGCAGTGTCCTTCATAATCTGGCCTTCCTTTGCTAATGCACTGAAATGTCTTACTATATTTCTCACTGCATGTACTTTTGTGCTTTCATTTTTTTGGCCAGTGTTAACGTTTAGGTGACATTTTCTGACTGATAAAGATGAATAATTTGTCAATCTTTACTTAAGGAATAAGTTGCTATGATTTCTACAAACTTTCCTGAAATCCTTTTAGGAACCTAAACTATTATTCACTTACCATATGTCAGGGTTGGCAGTTAGCATATTATGGGGCAGCAGGAAAGAAATGCTTTCAGGGAAGGGAATGTATGGGTTGGGAATTTGGATTAGGGTGAGAATGGGATCTGAGGTTAGCTGGAGGGAAATGAAAGTGAAGATTTAGCTCAAGACATTTATGTTCTGAGTCAAAGGAGGATATCCCCTCATTCAGCAGACAGCTTGAGTAGCTGTTGAATGTTCCTTCTGATGGCTGGATGGTATCTTCCACAGCACATGAGGGTAGCCAGCTGTTTTACAAGGCCTGGAGCGAGCCACGAAGCTTTGTTTTTCAGTTCCCCACTACTCGGGTATGTTTGCCCCCCAGCATTTGCTGCTTGAGGCAGCTGTGCCAACCTGTCTCATGGAAGAGCCAGCCCCAAGAAAGCATGAGGTTGGCAATTTAGACTGCAACTCTATGTACGTTTTAGACAAAACAAAAATGAAAATGAAAAAGGCCTGCAATTCCTTGCATGCTGGAAGTTGTGGGTCCTTTTTCTGACTAAATCCATATGGCAGGGGTGACCAGACTTGCTAAGCGCAAGAGCCACATGTGGCAAATGATGTTTGAGAGTGGCAAGCAGGTGCCGCGGGTGGAGAGTGGCAAGCGAGCACCTGCGAATGGTGGCTTTGGGCGGCAAGCAGTAAGGTGCAAAATAAAGAGCTGCGTGTGGCTCCCGAGCCTTGGTTTGGCTACCCCCGCCTTACAGGATTGTGCCCTAAATTAGAAACTCACAAGAGGGGCCTCGCATTGTCCTCTTTGCATAGAATTTAACATAGATCCAGGATGCTTAGTACCTTCTAACTCCATCTGAAAACGCTTGACAAGCCTGGAATAATAGTTGGTTTACATTCTTAACGTTTCTTTTGAGAAGAATATATGATATTTATATTCATTATGTATTTGTATGAACTGTTGTAAACTACCCTATGGGGTGGTATAGAAATGCAGATGATGGTGGTGGTGGTGGAATCTTTCGTGCAGAACCAACACAGTAGCATTACTGTGCAGAGCTAAAACAAAGGTTGACGCCTGAAGCATATTTGCATTTTTGACTTCCCGGAGCAGCTTGAGAGACTCTGCAATATTTACAAGTTCTCCTGTTGCATCCCTAGATCTCTGTGACAGAAATATAGCAGATACTCACCTCAGAGACAGCAAAGGGCTAGAGTGAGACATTACTTACTTGAAAGGTTGACTCGGAATGGACCTCTGATGCTCTGCTGGGACAAAAGTACAGTGCACATCTGGCTGTATGTAGGTCAGTAGAGCATGGAGTTCAACATTCTTTGGGGCCTGGATGGATTCTGATATGGAGCAATGAAACTATGTTTTCTTTCAGATGGTCTCAGGTAGGTAGGCGTCTCTGTGTTGGTATTTCTGGCCTGTGACCCAAAATAGCCAGTGACACCAAGTGACCAAATTGCACATAATGATCATAACTTCTGCTGTAGTATTTTAAAGCAGAAATCGGAGACCCAAACCAGACATGGTTGTTTCATGATTTTAGGGAAATATCAGGCAAAGCTTTTTGTGGCAGGGGCTCCAGAAGAGGAGATTCTTCAATCTGATTTTAGAAGGAGCCTCTCCACTCTGGCAAGAATTAACTGGTTTCCTCAATGGATGGTAAACTACAGAAGGAAAAGTAGTAATAAATGAACAGTTTTCACACTGGAGAGTAGTAATACCTGTGGCCTTGACAGAACTGTAATGAGACTCATTTTTAAACTTGTTCATACATTATCTGAAGTTAGGATTGAGCAGTGAGGTATCCAAATTTGTTAATGACACCAAAATATTAAAGATGGCAGCAATAAAAATGGATCCTACAGCACTCCAAAGGGATCGACCCAAAATCCTTGGCATTTATTTATTTATTAAAACATTTTTATGCTGCCCCATTTGCCGAAGCCTCGGGGCGGCTTACAACAATAAATAAAAGTTTATTGAAAAAGTTTATTGCATTGAAATCGTAGTTTTGGTTACATGTAAGTAAATGATCAGGGAAATGATCTTGAGATCATGGTAGGTATCTTGATGAAAAAGCTGTTCTGTGGTGCCGCAAATTTTTCAAACACAAATCCCATTTTAGGAGTCATTAGGAAAGAGATTCAAAATAAAATCGTATCATATTTCTTTTATACAAATCTAAGGTGTAATTACACTTGGAATGCTGGGTATAGTTCTCATGACTGCCCTTCTAAAAGGATATTGTGAAGTTGTAAAATGTTCAGAAAAGAGCAACCGAACAGTCAGCAACTCCTGTATGAGGAAAATTTATGGTGTTTGGAGCTCTTTAGAAAAAAGCAAGTAAAGGTGGGAGGTAGGGAGACAGCAGAGGTATATAGAATTATGCTTAGTGTGGAGAAAGTGGACAGGGAGAATTATTTTCTCTGTCTCATAGTAACAGAACCTGGGGTTACTCTGTGACTCTGAATAGTGGGAGATTTAGGATATATGGATGAAAATAAAGTACTTCTTCACACAGCACATTGTTAAACTAGGAGCATCATTTTTACTGTAATTTGCTGCCTTGCTTATGGGGATCCCATTAGCATCTGGTTGGCTACTGTGGGAAACTGGATGCTGAGTTCTGACTAAGCAGAATTGCCTTGCTTTCCTAGCAATTAATCATACGTGCCCCAGCACTCTTGCTACAATCAGCCATTAGCCCCTCACTGCACTTCCCTAAAAGGCAATGCACCAGGAGACTGGAATACAGTCTGGACTACACTACAGGTAGTCTTGAACAGTCACATTAACTTAGCCACAGCCTCTTATCCTCATTAGGAGGATGCTCACTAGGAGCATTGACAGGATGCTAAGACAGAATGCCTCCAGAAATGTTGAGAACAGTGATGGGCTGTATGGGAGCAAAACTGGAACTCAGTACGGGTATTTTTATAGGGACCAATTCACTAAAACGCTGGGACAGTGCCTAGTCACACTTGCCCTGATTTAAGAAGACACCTTTATCTTGCCAGGAGTCATGTATTCCCTTTCTGATCCAACTGTTGCTTCTCACACATGTACATCAAAAATGGAGGGGAATAATTATCTTGGGTTAACCAATGGTGCAGACAAATGGAAGAAAATCCTGCAGAAGTTATTGTCTGACTGGCCAGTATCACAACATGATCAGCGCAGAAAGACTTGCACTGAATGCAACTTTTATTTGTTAGCCCTGTGTTTGTGTAGGCATGATTTGTTTTCCAGAAACTTATTTGAGTGCTA